TGCAGTGCCTACGTCATTTCAATAAATACTGGTGCAGTTTTTACAACGTAGATCGCATTCTGCGTATAGCTAAAAGAATTTCTTAAGTTTAAAATAGTTTTCAATGTTTTATTTAAAAAAAACAGTGTTAATCTCATTTGATAAGTCTACATCGTTCGCCGCTTTCTAAAAAAGTCTACAATGGTGTGTATTCCAGAAACAGAAAATGTTCTGTATATTTGCAATGATTAATACGACAGGGCACTAAAAAGAAACAACCTGTACTATATTTTCTTGATCGTACCGATCATGTCTAATGGAGTATGGCATACTAAAGAACGAAAAAGATAATAGAATCCCGATCAGAGTCAGCGTGTTAAAACAGTAATCTTAATTCACTTTGGATCGTTTCTACAGTACTTGCACTATGATTGTATTCGGCTGAGGTAACTCGAACCCTTCGATAACTCGATTCGGCTTTCATCATTGTACCACACAGAAAGCAAATTTACCCTGACTTTGTCAAAATGAAACATGCCAAGAGTGAAAATATAGAAAATAAAATAGTAGAGACATGGAAAAATAGAAATATTGAAAATAATAGTATATGAAAAAAGAAATTCCCTCACATTTGCTCTCACTCTTGCCTCCATATTTCATCGCTGATTTTCGTTTTCGATATTTTTATTTTTGACATTTTCACCTATCGATCAAAATAGGATTCACTACACAATCTGTCAGGCAGCGAGGGATATTTCCTAGAGCTGATGGGCAACAATTTTTTTCGTGATTCATCATTTTCGTGATCGTGACGTAATCATGATTAAAAATGTTGGTCACACAGAACACTAGTCATGGTGATCGTGCTGACATTGTTATCCAATTCAATACTAACAATAAAGTAAGTTTTATTGAAAATACTTGTTGTTCGCAATATAAAAATTACAATTTGAAATTTGAACAAATTCTATGAGTAATTGAGATACGACGATTAGCTTAAAGCTTCCTCTCTAAACAGAACTAAAATAATTTACGTTAAGCCATTAGTTACACTAAAAATGGAGGTGCTCGTATTGTTTGTATCAAACTATAGCTTTCATCAACAAACTACTAAATTTAAAATACAGGCGGCCCTTAGCGTGCACAAATTGAGATATTCGAATTCTCAGGCGTTTACCGTATATGTAAGCTGCTTTGCAGTTCATCACTTCAGTAAAAAAATTTTCTTCTTTTTTTGCGCGATGGTTGGATAGATCTCATTGAGTTGCACAAGAAAAGCATCCAAGATATCATAATTTTCAAATATTGTAAACAAAAATGAATGGAAGAAACAGAGAAAATTTCGTAGTTTGGTGTACTTTATTATACCCTAAGGCTATGTCAACAGTGTCCTTAAGAACTTGTTAGTTGTTTCAGGACTACTATCGACCTGTGTTACAGAATGTTAGCCGGAATTCAGCCTATGTAAGTCTACAGGGCACTAAAGAGTGTAGGTTTGGGGATCTCTTAAATATACACCCACAGCCACACCCAAGATCAAAGTTAATAACGATTTCAATTTGACATTTTACAGTCAAAAATTCTTTTTTTTTTCTTTTATATTTATTTCGAATAAAATCAATGTAACTATTTCTAATTTACAATTAAACTATCGAAAAATTCAAAGTCACTTGAACAACATTTTCTTTTAATCAAAAACGAAATGTTCCGTTTGGGTAGGTTCATATTTTTTAGATCGTATATGTTTACAGTTAAAATCAAAGATTTATGCATATTTATAGAGAATATCTTCATTGATTTGATCAATCGATGTTAGTCCACAACAAGCCATATCATAAGTTAATTCTTTTTTTAATATATCTAATACCCGTCGAACACCATTTTGTCCACCACAACATAATCCATATAAAATTGGACGACCAATAAAAACAGCTCGTGCACCCAATGCTAATGCTTTTAAAACATCAGTACCAGTTCGAATAGCAGTATCAACAAAAACTAAAAAGGAATCATCAATAATCATAACATGGAACAAGATTTAGTCAAATATATGCTACGAAAAGTTTATAACTTTGGGGAAATACCTTCTTGTAAATTTTTGAGAATTAAAAACATGCTCGATATTGTTATTAAGCAAACTTTACCTTCTGCACGTCCATCGACAACATTGATAATATCTTTTAGACATTCAATAGCTGATGCTGTTGTATCAATCACACGACTACCATGATTACTAAATAACAATAATGAACTATTCATTCAATCAATGATAGGAAAATAAAAATGAACCTGACAATAATTCCATTGGCTCCATATTTAATTGCTAATTCTGCATCAGCTGGTGAAAGTATTCCTTTACAAATAATTGATAACCTTGTCAATTTCCTTAGTCTTTCAAGATTTGTCCATGTTATTGCCATCTTGTTGAAAGTTGGATCACTGCAGAAATTATTCATACTTATATTAGCCGTCTCTACAGTTTGAAATATAGTGGGATCAATATGCTTTGATGCCTATAAGAATAATGGTAAAATATTATCACGAGCACGAGTAGTCGGATCATCACATATAACAACAATTGCTCGATATCCTTTTTTATCAACTTGTGGAACTATTGTTTCTAAAATGTCGTTGGATACAGTTAAATAAATATGGAAAAACTTTGGACCTAAGATCATAAATACAATAAAAGTTAGATAGAATAAAATTTGAATATTACCGGTTGCTTGTAAAACTTTTTCTTCTGGCATTGTTGAATATACCCAATTATAAGTATAAATACATTTAGCTGCTGTTGCACCACGAGCAGTTTCAACTTCACCATCGATATGTGCCAGACAGTGAAATGCTGTTGGAGCAATGATTATTGGTGATTCATATGTGCATCTATATACAACTTAAAATATTCAACCTTTTCTGTAAGATATATTATTTTTATAATTGACAATACGAAAGTGAAAGAATCTCTTTCAACATAATGCATTATTAGTTTTTATATAGTAATGATTCTTACCCGAAAATCGTTGTTTTTAATGATATATTAGTAACATCAATCAAAATTCTTGGTAAAATTCTTAATTGTTTATCAAAATAATTTCTACATGCTTGATATGTATGTCCTTGACCAGCTTTGTAGTCGTAATAATAATATCGATGAGACATCATTAATTTTTTGGCTAATTCTTCAAAATCAAATAATGATTTACAATTTAAATATTCATTTTTCTATATCAATAATAATAATAATAATAAATAGTTACTTAAATAAATAAGCATACTTGTTCTTCATTGTGTCTTTTCTTTTTCTTCTGTTGAAAATAATTTAGAAGAATTAGAACACTTGTCA